GAACGGGGGTTCGAGTCCCAGCCTTGATACCACAAAATTCCCACCATTTTTTTCAACACATGAAGAGTGTCCAGTGTTCTTTGTGACGCTGGACTATTAGAATACGAAACTCCCATTCACGCATAGATGGCAGCACTATTGAGCTGTTAAGTACAAAAAGAAATTGTATTTCCCATTGCTTACGACAGTGGTTCTTAGCCTTATTAAGCTGCGACCCAAATTTGAGAAATATGTTCATGTCGCGACCCAAAAAAAAAGTCAAAATTAAGCTGAGTAAGCCACAATGACTTCTTCTAGGAGGTGTTGGTATTACTTATTATTTGGTGTATTACTAACTTTTTTGATTCGACTCAGCGCGACCCAAGAAATATGCTTCGCGACCTAATTTTGGGTCGCGACCCATAGGTTAAGAACCGCTGACTTACAACAGCTGGCATCCCCAGGTTAAAATTGAATAGTTGTTGACAAATGATGGATGCAATATTAGATTTACTGTACACCATAAAATGGGGAAAAAAAAACTTCAATGGCGCGATGATCCATGGTGGTATGAGAAGGTGATCTACTCATTGTTGATAATGTTCTCTTTGTTATAGTAAAGTTTGATTAGAGATGAAACGTTGGTTGTACAGTGCGGCAAAAAAAATAAATAAACGGACCACCAGAATATCTTTTGATCTAAGGATCGGATCTTCTGCTAATTAATTAACCGCAATCTGGGAAACATGATCCCAATAGTTTGATCAATAAAGCAGTCAAAAGTTTGGACTCCTTAATATTAATTACTTTTCGCATATTTCACCAATATCTCGAGAACTTCTTAAGCGAATTGAAATTTTTTTGCATACAATTATATAACTCATTTATCCAAAGATAATTCCATGCAAATAATAACTTTTAGTAAATATTTATTAGTTTTTATTTCTTTATTTAAAAAAATAGTTGAAAAACTTTCGAATTGTAAAATATTGATTTTTTAAAAATCTTTTGTAAAGAATGCAATTTTAAGATACAAAAATTGTGCAAAAAATATAAAATTTGAGCGAAATCAGTTGAATAGTTGAAAAATTCAATTTTTAAAATACGACTTTGGCAAAACTAGATTTCACGGGAACTATCTGGCCGACTTAGCTCAAATGTTATATTTCACCATTTAAAACTGCGTTCTTTAAAATGATAAAAATTTGTATACTTAGCAATTCAAAAATTTTTGACTATTATTATTAAGTAAAATAATAAAAATTAATAAATATTTTCTAATAGTTATTTTTTTGCATCGAACTATCTTAGGATAAATGAATTTCATAACTGTGTGCAAAGAATTTTCAATTCGCTTGAAAAATTCTGGTATAAGAAACTGCGCAAGAAAATGAAATTAACCTTATAGGGTCCATCTTTTGGACCGCTCTCCTCACCAAACTATTCTGACCATATTTCCCAGATTGCGGCTACCCCCTATATAGAAATCCGATTTCGTTGGAAAAAAAGGGTATATTTATTTAGAGAAAGTACGTTTTTGTGGCTGATTTTGTAACATTAAATATCATCTGCTCTAATTTATTAGCATATTTAAGATCACCATCTAAAAACATTAAGATTGAGTTCTGGAACCTGAAGATCCTATCATTAGATCAAAAGTAAGTCAAGGTGGTCCATTTATTAATTAATTTTTGTGCATTGTACTTATCAAAAGATAAAAACCGAGGATTTTTTCTCCTTTTTTTCATGACAATTTACCACTATTTAAAGGGAGTTTAATGCTTATAGCCCTAATTTTAATACAAGTCGTTTCTCAGCAAAACTATTAAATCGATTTTCAAAACTTTTGTTTGTTTGAATCTTTTATTATCTAAAATAAATTAACAATTGCTTTTTTTTTAAATTTTGAAGGTTTTATTTATTTATTTATTCAATAACATAAAAATTTAAAAACATTTTTGTTATAAGTTTAAAAATAGTATTTTTAATTTGTTTAATAATGTGTTTTTTTTTTCTTTTGAAACTTTCTTTTTATTCTCGAAAACATTAATATGATTTTCATTGATCGAAATATTGTTTTATATTTGAATTATTAAATTTAAATACTAAAAAAAATTTATATGTGTAAACAATGAATGTGCGACAAATTTTATTGCCTTATATTTTAATTTATTAAAATGCATGCATCTAGCTCAGTTATTCTAATCCTTCTCTCTAATATTAAATAATAAAATAATTGTCCTATCATTTTTTTATTGCATGAAACTTTGTCCTCATATAAAACAAACTGTTTTTAATGGCCGGCAATCATGCTAAAGACTTTTAAGTAATCTATATTAAGTTCACTTCTGAGTCATTATTTAACTGATGACTTCCAGCCATTTTCTGTTACGAAGAATGCGGAACTTCAAAGCGCAAACTGATGATAAGCTTTATGAAACATCACAAAGCCAATGGAGCTCTTTTTTTCCAAGTTAAAGGTTAAGAAAGAAAGAAAAAACTTGTTTCATAACAAGGCTTGTGTTCTTTTTTCCGCAAAAATTAAATTCTTTGTAACTGATGGTGAAACAAATATCCCAGAATCTTAAAAGGCGTCGTATTTGGGGCTCTTAGTAGAGTAAAACGAAAAAAAAAAATTTTCTTCGAAATCGTTATCTTCTTTACTGGTGCAATTGAAAAACCGTGTTTTACGAAAAACTAGAGCTTACGTTGTTTTTCTAATTGCACGGCAGAATAAAACGGAAAAAATACTATTGAAGCTAAATAAGAATTGTGTGATGTTTTTATTTTGATATTTGTTTCACCATTAGTTACAAAGAATTGTGTAAAATTCTTTGTAACTAATGGCGAAACGAATATCCCAGAATCTTAAAATGCGTCGTATTTAGGGCTCTTAGTAGAGTAAAACGGAAAAAAATTTTTTTTTTCTTCTTCGAAATTGTTATCTTCTTTACTGGTGCAATTGAAAAACCGTGTTTTACGAGCGCTTGCATTGTTTTTCTAAAAAATACTATCTAAGCTTAATAAGAATTGTGTAAAGTATTTTTTCAATTCCTACTATTAGTTCACACTCTCCCTATATCTTGTTCACATTTTCAATCGTTCATAAAATACTATATATTCATCCACTCAAATTCAAATACATTTTTTTTTAAACTTGTAGTAGATGGCACTTGATGTTAATACAGTTTTTTTTCAAATATTAATTCATTAATAAAATTTAACTAATTAATTTTAATTTTATACGGAAGACATTTTTTTTAATTATTTAATAAAAAGTAACTAAAATAAAAGTTTTGTTGACCTAAGTAGGCATTGACTTTAAAAAAATTTTTATATTAATTATTTAGTAGAAAAATGATTCATTGAAATTGGATTTTAAATTCAGTTAAAGTTGGCGCTTTTTATTCTGCATAGAAAGCACGTTTCTAAATCGGTATTGCCAATTAAATTTTTTATGTTTAACGCTTCTTCAAAGGGAAATATTTTAAAATCTATTAATGTTTTTTTAGAAAATTTAAATCTCCATTATGTTCAAACTTCGAAAATTCTCAAATTGTTATTAGTTTCAAGTTTTTAAATTAATGTTTTATAATTTTCCTTTCATAACCGTCTTTGAACAGCCTACCCAATTTTGGGTTTACGACTACTAAAGTTCGACTCCGTAGCCTTTTAATTTTGAACCCAATCCAGAAGAAAAGGGATCTCCTGGATTGAACAGTGGAAGAAATTTGCCTTCGTGGAGGACTTTTTGATGGAACTAGCCTGCATTTGCGTTGCATGGAGAGGAAGACAACGAGAGCCTCCCACAGTTAGCCTGACGACAAGGGGACTCTAACCCGTGATCCATCTACCACTGAGGATATTTGAGGTCAGCACTGTGATCGATACGAGCCAGATGCGAAATTCGTATTGACCAGCCATCGCTAGGATTGGAACCCGGTACACCACATTGAAGGGCGAACGCTCTATCCCCTAAGCCATTACAGCTCTAAATGAATGTTTGTCTATATTAGCTTTTTTTTCTAGTTTTTTTAAAATCTCCTAAAGACCACCGTCAGAGCCGCGATAGCTCAGGGGATAGGACGTTCGCCTTCCAATGCGGTGAACCGGATTCGAATCCCAGTCGATACGAATTCCGCATCCGGCTTGCACCGACCACAGTGCTGACGTGAAATATCCTCAATGGTAGACGGATCATGGGTTAGAGTCCCTTTGACGTAAGACTAACTGTGGGAAGTTCTCGTGGTCTTCCTCTCCATTCAACGCAAATGCGGGTGAGCTCCATCAAAAAGTCCTCCACGAAGGCAAATTTCTTCCACTGTTCAATCCAGGAGTTCCCTTGTCTTCCGGATTGGGTTCAAAATTACAAGGCTACGGAGTTGTACGTTAGTAGTCGTAAACCCATAAAATTGGGTCGGCTGTTCAACGACGGTATTAAAATTAAAAAGACCACCGTCACTGTTATTTTTTACGTTACATTTTGTTTTGCTGTTCAAAAACTGTAAAACTTAGAAGCGTGAAATTACAAAGGTATGTAGAAAATTTTACAGGGAGTACTATGTAATAAATAATATTAACTTCCGCTAACTAGTTCAATAATTATCAACTGTTAAATGTTTGGTAAAAAAAAACATTCAGATATTGTTGCCAGATATAATTCTCAACATTTATATCGAAATTTTTAAAAATATGTTAGACTCAAAAGAGATAAAAAGTATTGTAAACAAGTAAAATTACTCCGAATTTATTTCTTGTTGAGGCACAATTTCTGTATTTCTTAGGTTAATATATTTTTTCAAAAGCAGTTGATTATTTTTCAAATTCAGGTAATAATTCATTTTTTAATGATAGACATGTTAATAAAATATTTTCCCATAAAATTACAATAATTATGAATTTTATTTGCAAAATATTCTTTGTTCTTAAACAAAATATCTCTTAATTGAGATAAACAAACAATTATAAACGAAAAGCATTCACTTGAGTTTAGCGAGTGCATCTTTCATAGTTATAAAAAAAAATTGCTTCTGCCAACTGGTTTTTGACAGATTTAAATCTCATTACTGATCATAAAATTCTTTTAATCCTGATCTCTATTTAAAATTCTGATCATTAGAATTGACAATCACTTGAATTTGTAACACAGATTAATCACTATTCCAAAGACAGTCAGTATTACAAAGGTCATCACACATTTATTAATGAAATGGTGTTTAGTATCAATTATCAATGTGGAATATAGGACAAAAAATATCTTTGAACTCTTTCGGTGTAAGGAAAAATAGTTTTCGTTTCCGGCATCTTTTTTAACTCCACACCTAACTTTTTCTATTTCTTTACCAATGGCAAGGCATACGGTGTATCACGTGACGATTGCGTCATGAAGCAACGTGAGGGAGTGTTTGTAATGTTTACATTGTCATCGGTTTTGGCGTGGGCTGTTAAGGTAAAGAAAGCTTTCTCAGAAAAAGTGCAAACTTTTATCTAAATAAGGTGAGTATATGCATATATTTCTTAGTGTCAAATTTTCGATAATTTTACATTTAATATAGAAACTTAATTTTAAATTTAAAGAAATGGGGATTTGTATTAATGACAATAATTAGCTAATTTTAACTTAAATAACTAGCTAACGATTGTGATAACATCCGAATTTATATTATAATAGCTTAAAATGAATTTAGCAGTAATGATTATAATAATCTTACATAACAGTTTGAACATAACTCATGATAATATTAACACAGCTAATAAGTTTCACGAAAAATTAATAATTAATGCTTTAATAACTTAAAATTGTGAACAAAAACAGCCAATTTTAAAATTATATATTTCAACAACATGATTATAAATAATGTGTAAATTTTTATTCATTTATTTTATTTTTATTTGTTTATTTGTTTGCTTATTTGCCATTTTTCATCTCAATATCCACTTTTTTCTGTAAGATCAAATTTTATTATAATAGTAATTGTTATTCTGTACATAAAAGTTTTACCTGTTTTATTTATTTATTTTTTTTTTTTTTCTTTTGAGCAAAAGTAATGTTTTCAAAATAAAGTATGTATAAACAAATTTTATCTACAAGTGGATTAAGCAAAAATATACGAAAAAAATGTATGAATGACTTACGACCAACTAAATTTAATTTTATAAACGTCGTTGAACAGCCGACCCAATTTTTTGGGTTTACGACGATTAATGTTCAACTCCGTAGCTTTGTAATTTTAAACCAATCCAGAAGACAAGAGAATTCCTGAATCAAATATAGGGAAACATTTGCCTTCGTGGAGAGCTTTTTATGGTACTAACCCGCATTTGCGTTACACGGAGAGGAAAACCACGAGCCACGAGAACCTCCCACGGTTAGTCTGACGGCAAGGGGACTTTAACCCATGAACCGTCTACCACTGAGGATATTTTACGTCAGCACTGTGGTCAGTGCAAGCCGGATGTGAAATTCGTATCGACCAGCCATCTCTGGGATTCGAACCCGGTTCACCTCGTTGGAAGGTGAACACACTATCTTCGGAGCCACCACGGCTCGACCCACTAAATTAAAAATTAGATTTTTTTTAAACGTGTGCTACAACATACATTTTACTTTGATTTGTTTGAACTTTTTAAGGGTATTATGTTATCACCGCTCATATATTTTTAAGATCTTATCTGAAATGAAGTTGAAAAAAATATTTTAAGGCTTGCAAATAAATAATTAAGCGAGAGAAAAACGGAAACTAAATCTATTTTAAGAACAAGTTTATTGTTGTATTACCCCATCTCGCTTACTCCCTAAGATCAAATATTCCTCTGTCACGTGCTCCCTCATTCGGCGATTTTGAAGAAGAATTGTAACAGTTAATCTTATAATAACAGTTAATCTTATAATTATAATAGTTGAGATGAGTTCTCTTTTCTGGTAGATTCATGTTTTTTACTTATAGACTATAAGACTTAATTAGATTTAAAAAAAACTATTTTAGAATTGGGTATAATATAGCCTACGTCACAGGTTGTGTTGTTCCTATTAAATTTAACCCATGAACGGCATTTTCTGCGAGCCGAACTTCAAGCCACAAATAAACAAACGAAGTGTTCGATCGTTTAAATAGCTGCTCGCCAGATTTTATTGCATTATAAAGAAAAGTTATTGAAACTAAATACAACTAAATAAACAACAACAACTAAAACAAATAACAACAACTACTAATAACAATAGCTAAATAAACAACAACTAAATTCCATTCGCTTAGCATTGCGTCATATGTTGTTCCTACTAAATCGAAGTAGTTGTGTTTTTTTCATATTATACCCAATTCCTATTTTATAATATGTTTTGAATAATTTTTTTTCTTCACATTTTTACATCGTTTGATAAAAATTAATACAATTTAATAAGTTTTTTTTTTCGTAGAAATATCTGAAGATTTTTTGTAATAGCGCTCTATAATAATTTTTAATTGATTTATCGTTATTGAAGCACATTAAAAACCACGTTTAAATTTTAATCTAACATAGATTTTTCAACAGAACTGCTTCTAGTAAAATAATGGATATATTTTCGGAAATTTGATATATTTGGAAACATCTACAAGAAATCATTCTTGGCAAATCAAGGAGTCAAGAAATAAAATAAAATTTGGGAATACTCTTTCGTAACCTCTCTTCTCTATAACAAAAATTATATTTTATTAACAAAATTAAATCAAAACTAGCTGCTGAAATTTTATAAAAAATTATTGAAGAACTTATTCTTTCAAAAGTTTTATGGTGAGTAAAAGAAAAAAACGAGAATAAGAGAAGAAGGAAAGATGCAATTATGTCGCCAAAGCTTTGCTGGCAACAATTTAGCATTAAAATTTTAACAAAAATGTTGTATTAATAATGAACAATTTTATATTATCATTACTTTACGGTTAGTGTTCTCAAATGTTCATAATAACTTGTAAGATAGTCTTTAAAGAATAAATTTGGTTTTTGGAATGAATAAAATGGAATAATCGGGATTCACATGATGTTTTAAGGAAAAGAAGAACATTTTAAAAGAACATTCGTTTATATCTCACTTATGAAATGTATATATATATTAATTTTTTCATTTTATTATTATCAGTCACGTTATTAAAATTCTTATTTTTTTATAATTTATATTATCAAAATTTTTATTTCGTTTATTATTTTTTTATATTTATGTTATTAAATTTTTTTTATTTTATTAATGTTATCAAAATTTTATTTTGTCATTATTTTCTTTACTTAATTATTAAAATTATAATTTCATTTTATATTTATCTTAGGTATGAAAAATATAATTTTTTTTTCCTTTTTAGTCTTCAGTGTTATTGAAATTGCTAGTTTATTTAATATTTACCTTAGGTGTGTCGAACATAAAACGTTTTTTTTTCTTTTTAAACTTTGTTATTACCATTTTTATTTTAATTTTATTATTTTGACATGAAGTGATATAAACTTTCAAAATAATAAACTCTATTGTTATAAGCCTCCATCTTTCTTTCAATTTTTTTTTCCTCTGCAACATGTGGTGTAACATTTGGGGCCCAAATGGGTGAGATTATTATAAGCGATGTGATCATGCCTATTTAAAAGTTGTTCGTTGCTGTAGGCGGGTTTAGAAAAAGTAACCATTGTAGCCTCTTTGTGTGAGCAATGACCCTCTTAGAAATTAAGTTAATGGCTACTCACGCGGTTTTCTTCTTCGAACATGTTTTGACCCGCATCATTAACACCACTGCTGAATTTTCTTCGAATCGAACGCTTTGGAACAAACAAAGAATAAATTTTCAGAAATATACTTTCGCATACTAATCAACTGAAAGAGATAAGATACTAATCAACTGAAAGAGATGTTAAGATAGATGTTTTTAGTTTCTTTTGAGATGTGTGTTAATTGTTTCAAATTATTTCCATGGAATAAAAAAAGTGATTGATTGGTTGATCAAGCATATTATCAATGAAAATAGGTGAGAAGAAATAACAAGTATACAATCAATGAATCGGGTTAATAATTAGAACAAAGCTGCAGTTATATCAAGCTTTCCTTAAAGTTATTTGTTTATTATCTTTTAATTGAGTCATTTTTTTAAAAAATATTTTTGAGATTTAAATTTTATTTATTGAAATAAATTCATTTAGCTTATAAGCTAAAATTAATTTGAAATTTAAAAAAATTTTAGGAGAGAAGGTGAATGGGATTTTAAAAATTTTACCTATTGTAAAGGGTTGAACATAAACTTAAACTTTTGTGCTTATAAATAACCGAATTTATAAATTCTGTGTTTATAACTACGTATAAACAAACTCGGTGAAAACTAAACAAATGAACAAACACATAACACACAAGAGAAAATAAGTCCCTGCGTTAGCCTCTCTTTTTGATCCCACGCCAGCTTTTACTGTTACCCACATTTATGAAAACAAAGCCTTTTAATCATTGGTGAGAAAAAATTTCCTTTGATATTTGAAACTTAATGCAGTTGGTGGGCTTGAAAGCTTTTTTTAACAAAAAAAATATGGTATGTTAATAATTTTGTGATTCTTTAACAGTTATTTAAGACTCTTGAGTTACGTAATTAGTCGGTTCCCTCAGTGCTAATTATGAAAATGTTAAGATGAAGAAAATTATCTGTTTTAACGTGTCCGATGAGTAAGATGAGAAATGTAAAATGTTTTGTGCAAATAAAAAACATTGTGATGTAATTTTTTAATACTGAAAGTCCCTTGAACTCCCCTTGCCGTCAAGCTAACCGTGAGAGGTTTTTCGGGCTTTTTTTCTCCGTGTAACGCAAATGATTTGACAGAGTGGAATCGAAATTAAAAGGGCAAGTAGTTGAATATTAATAGGCGTAAACCCAAATATGAGCCGACTGTGCAGCGCCAGTTTTAAAATGCTGCAGTGTTTGGCTTTATGAAACTATGTAAACATCGGGAATTTTTCGTTGATATTAATGATTTTTTCTACGTAAAAAAATTTCGCCACATAGACAATTTCTTAAAGTTCAATTTTTGAAAAATATTTTTTTTATAAGTGCATTTATTTTAATTTTTCTTATCAAAAGTGCTTCAATAAGCACTATTAATGTCTGACCAAAATAATAATAATAATTTAGATATCACCAGTTTTATAAAGTACAAAAATATTGAAACTAAGCTGAAAGTAGTATGCATTAAATCAAACAACTTTGTTTTCATATATTTACAACAATAATATTAAAGTATATTTGATTTCTCTTTAAGATTTATATGATTATACTGGCTTTTGGCATTGTATTTTACAAATGAATAAATTTTCAAAGTGCATATTTTTTTTTAATATCCAGTGCTTTTTGGCAGTTTACAGTTTTTACAGTTTAGAAGATATGAATATCCTTTTTTTAAATTAAAATATTATTCAAACACAATAGTTACAAGCAATTGCTTAAGTATCTTATCGAAATTCAGTAAAAGTGAATGACACTAAATTAATTGAAATTTTC